AAAATCGGTAACTAGTAACGGTAACTTGTTACTTTTCCTACTCGGTAACGAGTAACTGTAACTTGTTACTTTTAAAAAGTAACTTTCCATTCCCTGCTCATTCACTCCCGAACGTGAGAGGCAAGGGAACTCACGCGAATCAAGCACCCCGAACGTGAGAGGCAAGGGGACTCACGCGAATCAAGCACCCCGAACGTGAAAGGCAAGGGGACTCACGCGAATCAAGCACTCCGAACGTGAGAGGCAAGGGGACTCACACGAATCAAGCACCCCGAACGTGAGAGGCAAGGGGACTCACGCGAATCAAGCAGCCCAATGGGATGAAATTCTCGTAACGTCCATGTCGTTCATCCTGATTAATGCTAAGCACGGGAAAATGCATGCAGTTTATCTGGACCTGATTGAGCATCAAACATAATCAGTTCAGTTAACAAATAGAAATAAGAACAATGTATATGTAATTCCGATTTCCTTTCTCCATTCCCATGTACGCCAGTACGCAAGTATGCACTCACGTATACACGAGATTAAATCCAATTAAGTAACCTCTACACCTGGTACTTCTTGGGAAATGCTAATGCCGGCAATACTGTAACCTTCAAGCCTTATAACTCGAAAAGTACTTTATGAAAAAACATTTCATTATAGTGTTTTGGAAAGCTCTCGAGGTGTGCTACAAGAATATGTGATGAAAAATAGGGGGTTCCATTTAAAAAATTCAAAATGACATTGCTCTGACTTTAGTGACGCCACCCAAGGTCATACTGATCACTGAATAGATCATTTAGAACCCCATAACTTTTGTCTGAAATGTTCCTTTCTAAAATGCTCTGTTTCTGAGATAAAAGGGGTGGACGGGTGGTCTGGGACATCCGGTATAGTATATATTAGTAATTCAAGATAGAATTATTTAAAAAGCAACGAAGATCCAGCTCCGACCGTAATAGGCAGTTAAATCTCTAGTATTGATTGAGTTTCTCAAATATACGGTCTAAAAATATAAATATGCTGTTTAGATTACGTCGCCTGAAAGAAAGACGTTGTTTCCTTAGTGTACCGATTATTGCGAAGAATATTACTAAGGCTTCGTTAGCCTAATGGCTCAGGACGCTCGTACTGTTTACAAGAGATCCGGGTTCAAGTCCCGGCCGAGGTAATATTTTTCGCAATAAATTTATTAACAGTTTTTATATATTAACATCTTTATAATATATGATGCTTGATGGTAGCATCAAATTAAATTGCTTGTCAATTTAATTCGCGATTACTACAGTAGTTTTAATTGCGTTTATTTAGTCCGGAAAGACAATTCGGCGCGCAGTTAGAAAAAAGACTACAACGTGGTATATATGCAAGTACATATATAGTATATATTAGTAATTCAAGATTGAATTATTTAAAAAACAATGGAGATCCAGCTCCGACCGTAATAGGCAGTTAAATTTCTAGTATTAAATAAATTTATCTTGTTAGTCATTTTGCATTTCGAGTAGTATTTATTAAGATAAAAGAGTTTATACAATTGACAAATCACAAATTACAATGGAGAATGTATCAAATATGTATGTACACTGCCCGTCATTGATTCGCATGTCCCTGTCGCCCTAGCGGTAGCTCTAACTTTGTTATAATTTGATTATAATCGGATCGCTTATTAATAACTAAAGTTATTTCAAGTTATAAATTTGAATAAGCGATCTGATTATAATGTACTTATAGAGAAATTAGAGCTACTGCTAGGACAGCAGGGCGATCAATGACGGGCAGTGTACATATATACTCACATATATATAGAGGGTGTCTGAAAATTACCAACAAATGTTTCGTGCGTGGGTAGAACAGACTATACTGAGTCGAAAAGTCTTATACCATTTTACGGTGTCAGCAATAGTTAACGAGATATTAATGTTTAAAAATTGCCGAATATGCGACGTCCAACCTACTACCTACTATTGCCGAATGTACGGCCCACCGAGCGCACGGCGCACGGGCCGCGAGGAGCAGGAACGGCCTAGCAGGCGCGCCGTTCGAGCTTAGAGGCTATTTTTTTCTCATAAAGCTCTAGAAATCTTTTCAGGATTTTTTATCAACCTTTTAATACTGCATTTTCTTATTAATAACTATTTTTACCAAAATGAGAAAATACGGTACTAAAAAATTCTGAAAAAATTCCTAGAGCTTTATGAAAGAAAAAAAAAGACAATATTTGTCTTTTGCTGTTTTTCTGTAAAGTTGATGGTATTTGATTAAAAAATTCTTGAAAATCAATATTTTAGTAATTAATATCTTTTAACTATTGCTGAAAATTACAAAATGATAAAGTATTCAATTCGACTTAGTTTAGTGCGCTCTTTCTTATTCACGAACGTTGTCGATAGAATTATCAAATATCCTTTTAAAATACATATATTATTTATTTAAAACAAGTCACATTTATACATATGTAGCATTTTTCTGTATGTACACGCGCACGCTTTAGAGCGAACTAAATTAAATTTTTATAAAAAGATTTCGATCATTTCCTAATCGAGATATTATTTCCAAAGCGCCGTCATCGATAGTTTGGCGCACGAGAAGTGTTCAGTGGGGCAAGCGCCCCGCTCACCGCCGCGAGCCTCTAAGCTCGAACGGTGCGGCACACCTGCTAGGCCGTCCCCGCTCCTTGCGGCCCGCGCGCCGTGCACTCGATGGGCCGTACGGAGGTAATAGTAGGTTGGGCGGACGCGCGTATTTTGCTATCTTTAAACGTTAATATCTCGTTAACTATTGCTGACACCGCAAAATGGTACAGGACTTTTCGAGTCAGTATAGTCTGTTCTACCCACGCACGAAACATTTTTCGGTAATTTCCAGACACCCTGTATAGTATTCGAAAATTATATTTTACACTTGCAAGAGCCTAATGATAGGTTTTGTAAAAATAAACTTTTTTTTATAAATTATTTTTCGTATATTTTGTGTGGGCTCCTTTGTGTCAATATTTATAGTGTCCTGTTTTCTTTTCTGTGTGTATAATTGTATATAAGTGTCACGTCGTATGTAACGCTAGGCGAAATTTTAGAAATTCTCGGTTCAACCCGGAGAACTCCAAATGTTGATTCAGCTATCGTTAGTAAGGCGATCCAGAATTCAACTATTTTTTCGTGGGACGTTGCCGTGAGGTTAAGGGAGTTAAAATCCCAAAATCCTTAGCCTGAGGGTAGATTGTCAATGTCTGCTGGTGGAAATTCTGGTTGGTTGATGCTTTTACTCAATAAGGAAGGGGATCTCCGATAGAACAGTCGTTGAATTATTGTAATAACTTGAGATTCGATAATATAACTTCTTTATTGTAAAGTAATACACTGTGGATATGATAAACCGAAAGTTTCAATTGACTGACGCGAAGACTAAGAGTTAAGCTGATCACCCAAGAGTCTCTCTCTGAACTCCGTATGGAAAAAAGGCCGTTTTTATTAAGGGGTTGGCATAAATGCCAAACCAGTCTAGGGTCTAGTGGTGAGGTTGGCAGTAATGTAACGACGACGACGACTGAGACAAAGACTTTCAGACGACGGATATATTTCTGTACGACTTAATTAAAGAAATTTATAATTAATAACGTGTTGATTATTCACAAACTCAACAATAACATGGCGCAGTCGGTAGAAGGCAGGATGCCTGAAAAATGAGTGGTTCAAGGAAGGAACATGATAAATAAGAGTGGCTATAACATCAATCTAACCTAATTACGCTTTTATAACATTGAATATTAACGGAATAATAATGGAATTTCTAAAGCAACCGAAACCGATGGACTGGGGAGGTGACCAAGCCTTAAATTGGAAGAAATTTAAAAAGAGTTTTGAGTTATACCTGGTCGCGACTGGTGCAAGCAAGAAAGCGGAAGAAATTAAAGCGGCTATACTAATGCATTGTATCGGCGAACAAGCAGTCGACGTGATTGATACGCTGGGATTGACAGAGGATGAACTAAAGGTAAAAGACACAATTATAGCAAAACTTGACACGTATTTTGTACCAAAAACAAACGAAAGTGTTGAGAGACATAAGTTGAACATGAGGATTCAAGGACCAACCGAATCATTCAATGATTTTCTGCAAGATCTCAGAAACATAGCGGCGTCCTGCAACTTTGGAAACATGAAAGATGATTTAATCAAAGACAGAATCGTGTGCGGTATATACAATGCGAAAGTGAAAGACAGGTTATTAAGAGAAGACGGACTAGATCTAGACAAAGCAATAAAAATTTGTAGAGCTGCGGAGTGTACAGAAAATCATTTAAAAAATCTATATGATGGACAAAAAACCGAAATTGGTATAATTGGCACGTCAAGGCCAGGAAAAAATGACAAAGGCGGCAAAGGATCGGCAAAACAAAATAATGGCAGAAATCCAAGGTCATCAGGCGATAATCAGAACGGGCAAATGAGCGGACGAAATAACGGATGGCAAAAAGGCAGAGCACAAGGAGAGAGACAACAACAAAGAAGGAGGGATGACAATGCCAAGCAGCAAGCGGCCAACGAATGCATAAGATGCGGATTCGAACGGCATAATTATAATTCGTGCCCAGCAGTAGGTCAAACATGTGCAAATTGTAAAAAAATAGGACACTATGCAAGGGTATGTAGAAATGCGAAAGTAAATGAAATAAATGTTAATAATGTAAACGAACAAGACAGCGATAGCGACTCAGAATCGTATATGGTAGGGTTGTGACCGGACTAATGCCTTTATTTATTAAATATCCGGGTAATTATTTATGAATTAATTAATTATAGCCTGTTATTAACTTACGGGACTTACGTTTCGGTCGCCACTCAATTTAACCATCAACTGAGAAGGAAATGTGAACCTCAGCCGAAGGTCGTTCTCTATCGGATGTCGTCCCTTCGTCCTCGATGCTGATTGGCCCTTGCGTCGAGATGGCGGTGTCGTTGGTTGCCTTGCCCGTCGGTGTGCGGTGGTGACTTAATTTACGAGAGGAATGGTAATTCTCGTGATTAAAACACACGGAAGGCCGTTTCCGTAACACACAAAATAAATTATTTATTCAAACACAATAGTAGTTAATTAATTAATAGGCCCGCATTCACTCTCTCACTCACTCGCTTTGTTCTCGAATATTCGACACTCTCGCACTCTCTCTCGCTTATCGAAATCACGTTGTCGCGTCGCGTCGCACGTACGACGTAATGGCGGAATCCAATATGGCCGCTAACAAAGGCTCGCGTGATGTTGCATCACTCGCCTGGCAACAACGGAAACGAGGTTAATTCCTCGATAATTTCGCGTCAACACTACGCATGGCGTGTACGGGTAACGTGTCGAAGACGTTAATGAATTAATTTCGGCGTATTTATGCCGTTTTCCCGTATTCTCGTGACACGTGTATAAAACTTCCGTAAATCACGATAAATCGCGGAATTTCGCGTATATTCGCGCTTCGCGATATTAATTAGGCGATAACGCACTCTCCCGATACGGTATTTCGTATTTTTTAAACGGAAAAGCGATTACGCAACTCTCGAGTGCACCGGCACGACGTGTGTCCGTCGCGTTTGGTAGTTCGGCAGTGACTGACTAACATGGCCGTCCTCCCAGGCAAGATGGCCAAGAAGAAACGGTCTGTACCTTTTCCCATGGTGGGTTCGGTGTTCCCGAATTTAGTTATTTTCTAGTGAAACACTCATACTGGCCTTTTTACAGTTTTAATGGCTTAAATAATTAGGAAATAATTCCCCGAACATAAATTCTTGATGGACTTTCGCCTTTTGACAATTAATCGGGCGAATAATTAAATATTTAATTCGGACCATCTCGGTAACCAATCAAATAATTCAAATAATTCCTTTATAACAAAATATGATTGAAATAATTCAAAATGACTCTAAATAATTAGTTTTTAGTGAAATAACGTTCTGGTTAGCCGAAATAATTCTGATAAATAGATAATTAACAAATCCTTGATATGCGAATGCGTATGCACCTTAAATAATTCATAGGTCATGTGGATGGCGCTTAAATGTTTCCAAATAATTCCAAATAATACTAATTAATTCCAACTACCTCGGATTGTCTCCGGAACGGCTTGTTCTGCCTCAAATAATTGCTACGTAATAATTATGACATTCGCGTATCAAGCTTAAGGTCCTTTACGACGCTTTATGCGTACTCTATAATTTTCTTGCTTTGATTGGAACACTTTTTTATATCATCTTAAAATAATTCGTGTGGACTCTAAATAATTCAAATGTAATGTAAATAATTCAACAATACTATGGAATAATTAATTAATTAGTCTTTTGACCCTGTATGTGACTTTTAATAATTTCGACTTTCTGTCTTTGTCTAGCTAATGCAAAAATTCTCCTTTCTCTCTCTGGCTAGAGAGCTGTGTTCCAATTAATTCAAGAGTCTCAAAATAATTCAGAAATGACTAAAATAATTCGGCTGACTCGCCTTTATGTTGAAACAATCAAGATAATTAAAATAAGGTGTTTAACAAACCTTTAGGGTAAGTATTCGCTCTTTGGCGCTGGTTATTAATATTTTTTTCTTTTCAGGGTCTCCAAATCTATCGCAGTGTCACTTTTGGTAAGTACTGGGTAATTATCATTATTTATTCTGTTCAACATTTTCTTTAATCAATTAATATTCTTTTTCTTTTCTAGGTTCTCACACTGGATAGGGATGGTTCGCCTTTGGTAACTGTGTTTTGCAGGATTTTTAGGTAGGTTGAAATATCTTATTTAATTAATTATAAACGTATAAAACTTTATTATATATGATGTGTCTTGGAAAATATATATCTCTTTCGTGCAACTTTAAATAATCAATAAAATAATTGTTAGAACATAAATAATGTCGTCGCATCTTGTGTACGTCACCTTTTGACAAAATAATTGTGATATATAAAAATTAATAATTAAACAAGTATGTTTCGCGACTCTAAATATTTTATATTGGCTGCGTGGCTATTTTTCCCACGTCTGTCTGCTGTTCTCCAGCTGTGTTGTCGGTCTCCATGGTGGTTTGTCTGGGATGTTCCTCAGTTGGCTCGGTACATCGTGTGCTTTGAGCTTGGTCCATGGGTGAAGTTTGTGCATCCATCTATAATTAATTTCGCCTTTGTAATAATTATTTGGCGGTTTAGGAAAATTAGCGGACGGTCGCAGGGTCACTAGAGGTTAGCAATAAAGTAGAGACATATATACTAGATTATGTGGGAGAAGGAAACAGCAAGGACGACTGGTTTACTAGAATGTATGTAACGGAAATAAATAAAACTGTCACATTTAAATTATATTCAGGAGCCCAAACAAATGTAATTCCAGAATATTTGTTCGAGAAACTAGGATTAAAACATACATTAGAACAGTGCATGATTAAAGCTACCAATTATTCAGGTAGTATGCTTGATGTTGTAGGAAAATGTATTCTAAAAGTGAAACATAGAGGAGAAAATCACAGTCTGCAATTTTTGGTTATTAAGACTAAACCAGTAGCTCAAATAGTACTAGGGATTAAAACTAGTAAAGCCTTAAATCTGGCGGTGTTAGTAAACACAATTAATGAGAGTAAGTTGCATCCGCTAAAAGAGTTTAAAGATATATTCAAAGGAATAGGGCGAATAAAAATAGAACCAGTATAGCTAAAACAAAACTATGAGACTGTTATTGTACCATGCCGCAAAATACCATTTCGTATTATTAATAAGCTTAAGGACGAATTAGATAGAATGTGTAATGATGGTCTTGCAGAGCGAGTAACGGAACCCACGGAATATGTTAATCCTATTGTAGTAGTTAAAAAACCAAATGATAAAATTCGAATCTGTTTGGATCCACAAACATTAAACGATAACATTCTGAGAGAGCATTATGAATTGCCAACATTTGACGAACTAACAAGAGAAATGGCAGGTAGTAAATATTTTTCAGTGCTAGATGCCAATAAAGGATTTTGGCAAATAGAACTAACAGAAGCTGCATCAAAGTTAACGACGTTTGCAACTCCATTTGGGAGATACAAATTTTTAAGGTTACCTTACGGGATTTCAAATGCTCCGGAAATTTTTCACAGAGTCTTTTCACAACTATTCGAGGAAATTCCAGGGTGCACAATTTATATTGATGATATTATTATTCACACAAAAACTCGAGAAGAACACGATAAAGTGTTATTAAAAGTCCTAGAGAAAGCCAGAGAAGTAGGGGTAAAATTCAATAAAGACAAATGTAAATTCTATCAGACTGAAGTTAAATATACAGGCCACAAATTCTCAGAAAGAGGTATAAGCCCTGATCCAAACAGAGTCGAAGCAATTAATCAGATAAGAACACCTAAGAATGCGAAGGAATTAAGTAGATTTATGGGTATGATAACGTATGTAAGCCGATTTATTCCTAATTCAGCGCAGAGAACAAAAAACATGCGACAGTTAATGAAACGTAACATAGAATGGTTATGGACGGATGAACATGAGAAAGAATTTAGTGATCTCAAAACAGTGTTAATGAAAAGTCCAGTCTTACAATTTTTTGACAGTAATGCGGAAATTACACTATCAGTGGACAGTTCAAAGGACGGCATGGAGGCAGTGATCTTACAGAGTAAAGCACCCATAGCATATGCGTCAAAGTCCTTGACAAAGTGTCAGCAAGGTTATGCCCAAATCGAAAAGGAATTGCTCGCGATTACCTTTGGATGTCAAAAATTTCATCAATACTTGTATGGGAAAAGATTTGTAGTGGAGACAGATCATAAACCATTGGAGACAATTTTCAAAAAACCACTAAGTAAATGTCCGTTAAGATTACAAAGACTTAGAATAACATTACAAAATTATGACATTGAAGTCCGTTACAAACCAGGAAAGCACCTATACTTTGCTGATGCTCTCTCAAGAGCACATTATGACGATAAAGATTGCGTAATTAATGAAAGTGACATTCAAGCACAAATTGACCTAATACAATTAAGTGATGGAATTAGTCCTAAGAGAAAAGAAATCATTATTGCAGAAACAAATGTAGATTCAGAATTGATAGAGTTAAAGAAAGTAATTAAAGAAGGTTGGCCCAAAATGAAAAATAGCTTAAATGATCAAATTAAACCATATTGGGGCATAAGAGATGAGTTAACAGAAATTAACGGGTTAATTTTAAAAGGAAACCAAATAGTCATCCCAAAAGCTTTAAGGCAAGAGATGCTAAATAGACTTCACTACGTACATTTAGGGCTAGAAAAAACAATGTTGAAAGCTAAAGAATATGTTTATTGGCCATTAATGCAGAGTCAACTCAAAAATAAGATTAAAAACTGTGAATCTTGTCTAAAATATACAAAAAATTGTCAGAAAGAAACAATGATTAACAAAGAAATC